TGTGGTGTTTGATCATGTTTTGTGAAGTTTGATACAAGAAAAATTCATGCATGTTGTGTTCATGAACATTCATCATGTTTTAAGTTGAAATTGTGAGTTTTTAACGAACCTTTGAGCCATGATTTTATGAAATAATCCTTAATTGATCATGTTTTACAAGTTTGCTATGTTATCTCAAGTTTTGGGGCTCAAGAGATGTGTTTTGGAAGGTTGCATTCGAGTTTTGAGCTTGAAGGTGTAATCTGGAAATTCCAGAATTTGCATCTACGGTCGAGCGTGGGAGTTCACGCTCGAGCAACCACTCTGAGTGCGTGTACTCCGCTCGAGCGACCAAAAGTCCGCTCGAGCGAGGAAAGTTATGCTCGAGCGTTGACCTTATTTTCAGAAAATTTGACTAAGTGTTCCAAGGCATGTTTTGGCATCCTCATTGCATCTTAGGCATTCCTAAGCCTTAATTAAGCCATAGTAATGAGGTTATGGATTAGAAACACACTAAGAAAAAGAATATACTAAGTTAAGAGTTTATAAGAGTGTGTTTTAGGCAATGTGCTAAGAAAGAATATGAGCTATTGTAATGAACGCTAAGCCTCAATGGCCACTTGAATGTTTAATGATAAGACATGCTTGTGTTATGTATTTCGTGATTGTAGGTCAAGACTCAAGGATTGATTGACCGCTTACTGGAACCACTGTGAGTAACGTTATTGTAAAGATACGTTCATATGAATTACATTCCAAATGAAATATGATAAGTTATGATTTCTGAAATGATATCTGTTTTTGTGAACGAATATTCAATGTTTGAAATCTATTATGGCATCCATATATAGTCTCAAGTCATGGGGGACGGCATGAAAATGCGGATCCATGACATACAAGTAATTACGAGATCTCGTTAGCCACTTCATTGTGGTGTTATGTGTTTAATCGGTATCCGGAACCGATTACTCTAGTCGGAAGACGTTCTGTGATGTGTTCTATGGGATGTACCATTATTATGTTCTGATATGAAAATGATTATGCTCTGGTCTGTTTTTCTGCTTATGATATATTCGGATTTCATTCACTAACCCCTTTACCTTAATGTTATTCATTGGGCTTTAGCTCATTGTGTGTATATATATGTATAGGTGAGCATTCTGGAGCCCGAGCTTGAAGGCTTTTGTCTGGATCTGTGTTCTATTGTCAGCCAACCATTGTGCCTCACGTGGAGGTTCCCGAAGTGTCCTGTGTTCAACTTCTGTTGGTTCTATGTATATGTATGGCTTGTTTTAATTCTGTTGGCTGGACTTAAGATACTATAATGTGTGTGGGTATAATGTATGAATGACTTCTGATTATGTATATAAAGTTTTAAATATTCCGTTCATATAAGTCAGCACAGCTCATTGGACAACTATATTTATGTATTTGCTTCCGCTAGCCCCTTAATCTTGTTAATCTGTTTAGAGGCCTTTGGTAGTCCAAGGATTACTGGCTGGTTACGATGCTAAACTTATAGGAGCGGGTTTGGGTCGTGACAAGGGGCGGTTCGACGGTTAGAAATGCAGTTCGACAGTTGTCATTGAGAAGTACAAATAGCAAAGAATCCCCCAAAAAGAGCCCCAGACTCAGATCAAAAAAATCAGTTTTATCTACTTTATTTTTCCTTCAAGTTTTTACATTTCTTGTTCTTTACATTTCTGTACTTCAAATTCCTGCACTGCATTTCGTTCGTAGGAGTAGTTTTCAAGTAGCTTGTTGCTGTATACCTCTAGGAGGCTAATTTGGATCTTTGTAAGTCTTTCATTTTGCTTAATGAAATGCTATAATTGTTCTTCATTTAATCATTGTTTGCTTAATTCTCCTAAACAAAGCGACCAGTAAAAGTCCTCTTCATTGATGTTGAAAGAATTAAAACACAATCGTTTGATAATTGATTGACAATTAATATTCTGTAAGGACTGATTAATCCTTACTGACATGCTCATAATTACAAAAATAACATTCGAAAGTCAAAAAAATTAACAACTAGACATAAAAAAAAAAAACAAAAAAAAACTACGCTTTATTAATTTATAATTGTGTGATCAATTGATGTTAATAGCAAATGATATTGAGGCTTCGGGAAGCGTTAAAGTCAAACATAGGGAGAAAGAAAAAAATAAAATTTTATTTTCTTTGTCGCGCTCACGTGAGCGGTGAGCCAATGAAGATAATTACCGGTTAATTCAAACCAGGAAAGTTAGGGGTTACTTGGGGTGTCTTGAATAAGTGTATTTTTTGTCTTTTTAAATTAAAAAATTAAGAAAAAAAATATAGATGTTTGGATTAATTTTTTGAATTTTTATGAAAAAATGTGTAATAAAAAATTATAAAAATTAGTTTGTAGAGAAAAATTAAGATTGGGAGCTGTGCAGCTGTAATTGTTGACTTTTAGTGAATAATGTTAACTTTTTAAACAACTTTTTAACTTTTTGACTTTTTTTTAAGTATCCCAAACTTGATCTTAATTTTTAATAGTGCAACATTTATTTATTTTTTAAAGGTGCAACATTAGTTGATTAACTACAATGAAGTGAACGTTCTTGGGTGTAGATTTGCTTCTAGTTTGTACTTCGTATTTTATTTTTAGAATAACTGCTATAAAATTCGTGCCGATACGCAAGAGATTCAAAATTTTATTTAGAAGGGTTGGTTTGGCATAACCTATATAATCCATCTTTTTATCTTTTTATCTTTTTTTCATCACATCACCTCTCTACTTTTCTGCACATCTTTTCGTAAAAAGACAAAAAGTGCACTTTTTTAGGACACCCCAAACCAACCCTAAATAGTATCAATATTTTTTTGATAATTTATTAAAAAAAAATTGGGCAAATTACAAACACCCCCTCGAGGTTTAGTAAAAATACAAATCGCCCCATGAGGTTTGAGAAATTACAAATTGCCCCATGAGGGTCAAATTTTCATAACAAATTAGGAAAAATTAGGGGGGAATCTGTATGAAAATAAAAATCTCAGGGAGCAATTTGTTATGAAAATATAAACCTCAGGGGGCGGGATGTAATTTCTCAAACCTCAGGGGAGAATCTGTATTTTCAACAAATCTCGAGGAGGTGTTTGTAATTTGCCCAAAAAAATTGGAACGGGGTGGGTCATTGGTTCATCAATTTTTTTGCACAAACTTTATCTCTATTTTTCTTTTTAATATTTTATTAAAATATTTGAATTTGTTAAAAAAATTAAAATTTGACAAAGAGGAACAAATATGTGATTCTAATTGTGATATAAAAATATGATGTAGTATTGTTAGTAGGGAGTAGATCTTGATTATGATAGAGATTTAATGCGGTTATTTTTTTTCTATAAAAATACAATTCATAAAATGAAACAGTTTGGTGTCATATAATGCACCACAATAAACTTGATAACCTTATTAGCATTATTCTTGTTTCAATTTTGTTTGAATCAAATTTTTTTTTTCCCTAGTTTGATTTTTTGACTTATTTATGGTTGTGAGTTAATCTTAAGTTTTGTTTGACAACATCACTTTTTAGTCTAAAGCCCAAAAAATTACTAAAAACATCAAAAAAACCAATAACCTATACCAAAAAGTCAAAGATTCTTTTTTCTCTCTACTTGTTACACATCTTTTCATAAAAAACTAAAAAGTCATCCTAAATAATTTTTTTTACATCATATTTTAATCAAAAAACTGAAAAAATTACTAAAAAAATTTATACCCAAATGAAACCTTAGATTTTGATAAGAGTCAACACGGCTGCCCAAATCTATGGGTTGACCACTTGTCACATTTGAATGATTTAATCAATTTATTTTTTAAGTTTATGTGTGTAAATTATCAATAAAAAATTTAAAATTAATTTAATAATTATATCCATATAATTCCATTATCATGTTGATGTTTTTAGAAAAATAGATGATGTAAAAATTAAGAAAGTCAAAAACAATCCTAATAAAAAATTATAAAAAATTTGAATATTAATTTAAAAAATTGAATGAGATAAACCCAAAATCTGGGTTCATGTAGATCCAAACCATATGGAGATTTTTTTGACCAGCTTCTGGATCGGCCTGTAACTTGTTTATTAATAAAATATCACATTCTTTTCCACAATCCAAACAAATGGCAACAGAGCTTGAAGAGGGGCATGCATGTATGGTCACATAAAGTTTCGTTTTCTTATTTATTTTATTTTATTTTATTTTTTATTTTATATCATCGGATACATGGTAAAAATATTTTTTATGTTATTTTTTGAGTAATACTATAACGCTCATCACTAATCTCGAAAGTCCACGATTCGGTTCAGTAGGCTTTTATCGGCTCAGCAGGCTTCATATTAATAAATAGGTGTTGCTGTACTGGTCAAAAAATTAGACTTAATTTTCAAGCCTAGTTTTATGGGAATTAATTAGAATATATAAGTCAATATTTTTTTTATATCTTTTTTAATCATCAACCAATCATATTAGCTACATATTATTGTATTTTAAAAATGAATCTAAAAAATAGATTTAGAAAAATACTATAGATCCCATGTAAATTATCAAACCTCTCACATCGGTGTGGGACCTACATACATGTGATTTGTATAAGTTTCACACCTATATGAAAGGTTTAATAATTTATTTAGAATCCCTAACATAATTCTTTATATATCATTTCCTTAATAAATATACGTGAACCTACATCTTTTATGTGTTGTCATGAAAAAAAAAAAACTATGTAAAAAATTATGTACATATAATATTTTAGGGAAATGATCCCAGCACCCCCACACATTTGTGAGAGAGGGGAGGAGAGAGAGGGGAGAAAAAAAAAAAGAAAAAATATAATGTATAGTCACAAATTAATTGGGGGTTGTAGGGGTCAAAAAATGGTAAGGGTCTCAAGTATTTTCTAATATTTTATTAATTAATTTTTTAATGATTATTTTCAAATGAAAAACCAATCATAAATAATCACACAAACAATAATACAAAACCTTGACCAAACAACACAAGTAATACATAACATTTTTGTAATAGTTTTGTCACAAATACAAAAATCAATCATAAAATTGAATAATTAATACACATGAATAGATAGATCTTATATCAATTTATCTTCTATAAAATTTTATCGGTCTAAATATATTCTTTGATCGGTTTCTATATCCATGAAATTATTCTTTCTCATAAAGCTTAGAAGAGGAGATTGGGGGTAACAATAATACAACTACTTGAGTCGACATGCACATAGTTGGTCAATAAGCTTCCCTAAAACATGATAAGATGAACCATCTTCTTGTACTGCCTTCATAGCCACTTCTCCAAACCCTGTGCTCTTTCCCTAGCACCTTCCCTTTGCTTCCTCAACTCCTTCACTCCCTTGCAGATCGCGTGCCGCGAAACTATATCATCACCAGCGGCCTTACTCTCCAAATTTTGCATCTTCTCTATACCAATCCCGGCCTCGAGCCCATCCACGATAAACCTAGCATTCAAACCCTGCTCTGAAATTGGCATCATAGGCCATGCCATAATCGGCACACCAGCAGACAAACTCTCCAGCACTGAATTCCAGCCGCAGTGGCTCAAAAACCCGCCCGTTGCACGGTGTCCTAATATGCTTCTCTGTTCGACCCACTTCTTTGTGATTAAGCCCCTACCTTTCACTCTCTCTTCCATCCCAACAGGCACAGACCAAGTTGGAGACCTCACTGCCCACAAAAATGGATGCCCTGACTCCTCCAAACCATATGCTATTTCGTCAAGTTGGGCATCGGAGATGTCAGCTTGGGTGCCGAATGAGACATAGATGACTGAAGCAGGCATGGTATGCATCGAAAGCCACTTCATGATCATTTCGTGATTGAGTGAGATTTGGAATGGCTCGGTGTTGTCGCCGTAGAGGGACAGAGGGCCTATACACCATGCTTTGGCATTGTTTTTGTAGAATGATTCGAGGGATGAGACATGGTTTCCTTCTAATTCTAAGAAGCTATTGACAATCACACCCCAGCTATTCATCTCTGCCTCAGCCACCTCACCGATAAACTGACAAAATGGGTCATCGTGCGGTGAGTTCACTCGCTCGGGCAAGTCTGCAGCGGTTAAAACAAATGGAATATCTATACCTGGCAAGTTCAAACAGCAATAGAGTCAGAAAATTAATTCCAAAACGAATTTTTATACAAATAAGGACCAGAAACGCGGATAAAAATTAAGTCTAATAATGCTTGTTAAATTATTTAAAATCGTTCTTTAAATATGGACATATCACTTCTCTAACTTGAATTCCGATACCATGTTATTAGTCTCCAAAAATTAAGTTATTGGACAATAAGTTATATCAAAGAAAAACTTTAAGCATATATAAATTGATCACAACACAAGACACAATAGTATTGTGTTCAATTTTGTAATTGATTTATGTACTAGTCAAAAAAATTATGTGTCAAACTATTCAATAATCACTTGGACCATTTTGCAAACTATATATATCAATATGCATAATAAGAAAAAAAAAATTGAAATAATATCCATACCTGGCAGGTACAGAGGATCAGAGCTTGAAATGTTTTCCAAATTTGGAGCATGGACCCAAGCACTTTTCACAAGAGCCATTGACAAAACACCCATTCCATGGAAAACAAGCCTAGGCACCCCAAAGGCTTGACATGACTGCAAAGTCCAACCCAGAAAGAAATCTGATACAACACAAATAGGAAGATCATTGGACTGTGACATGTTTTCAAGCACTTGTTCAAAGGGTTTTTGAAGCTGTTTGGTTGCTTGGAGAAAAGGCAAGAAAAATTCCATGGAGGGAAGTTGTGTGGTGTTCTCGCAGCCTTTTGGGAGGCCATGGATGGCCGGAAATGGGATCTCGGCGATGCCGATGAGGGGGTGATCTGCTGTGGATTGGGCAATTGAAATGGCGTTTGATGCGGTGGTGATGATTGTTACTTTGATATCTCTCTGTGAGAGAGCTTTTGAGAGGTCTAGGAGTGGAAGGGTGTGACCTTGTGCCATGAAAGGGAAGATTACTACATGGGTTTTCAATGGTGAAGCCATCTCTCACTCTCTCTCTCTCTCTCTCTCCTCTCCTCTCCTCTCCTTACCAGCCAGAAAAGATGCATGTGAACATGTATATAAGGAAAATGAAGAGCGAATGACACACACAGCATAAAAAAAATTACAACTATTTCAATACAAAACATGTAAGAAACTTTAACCCAAAAAAAAATAATAATAAAATAAAATAAAATTGTTTATAAAAATTATAAAAAAAATTCTATTTTTTAGGAGTAATTTTTGCATGCGGATAGGGTATATATCGGTCACTTTTGACAAAGAGGTTAAAAGTAATTTTTTGACTTTTAAACTTCTTTTGAGACCAGCCAGAAAAGATGCATGTGAACATACATATAAGGAAAATGAAGAGCGAATGACACGCCCAGCATAAAAAAAATTACAACTATTTCAATACAAAACATGTAAGAAACTTTAACCCAAAAATAAAAAAAATAAAATAAAATTGTTTATAAAAATGATAAAAAAAATTCTACTTTTTAGGAATAATTTTTGCATGCGGATAGGGTATATATCGGTCACTTTTGGTAAAGAGGTTAAAAGTAATTTTTTAACTTTTAAACTTCTTTTGAGTTACATCATCTCTCTATTTTTTTACATATTTTTCTAAAAAAAGCTATAAAAAGCCAAAAAAAATTAACTTTTAACCTACTTCTCAAAACAATTAAGAGCAATGATTTATAACTCTAAATTTGAAGCTCTAACAATGACACTAATGATGTGGTATGGAGCCAAAAAAGAAAAAAGAAAAAAAAGACACATACATCAAATCATTAATGAGTGAGGCCCACTATCACATAAATAGAGTTTTTATTAGAGCTCTACTCTTAGTGCTCTTAAATATTTTTGAACAATCAAATTCTCAAAACAACTCATTGTGATTGGCTTTGACAATAAGGTCCATTTATGTTAGATATTTGGAGAATTGTAAGAGACATATACATTTGTGATTGGTAGAAGATAGTATCGCATGATATCCTATTGACATATACAAAAATTTCTCACTTTTTAGACTCACTTTCTAGACTTAGTGATGTGTCAAGAAAAATAATTAAAAAATATTTAATTATCAACCAATCATCTTCCTGAGACATCATTAAATCTAGAAAATAAAACTAACTTTTAATCCCGAATAACAATGCTCATAAGTTTATCTAGAAAAATTATGAGTACAAAATTTAACTTTTTACATAGTGAAATTTATTAATACATGCTTTTCTTGATAATTTTTTGGATACCGCCTCGTTTGACAAGTGTATATTTTAATTTAAAAGTCAAAAAGTCAATAAAAAGAGATAAAACTCAATAAATTATACAAAAAAAAAAATCAAAAAAAAAAATTTTGCACATTTTTTTTTGTAAAAGTTAAAAATTATCCCAAACATACTATTTTTTGACCTCATATTTTAGCTAAGAGTATTGGTATTTAAGTCAAAAAATTAGACCCACTTTCAAATTGAATGATATCGCAACTAATTAAAATATGTAAGATAATTATCTCTCTTTTATCTTTTTTTATCAACCAATCATCTTATATAGGAGCGTTTTAGGAAGATGGTTAAAAAATGAATTTTTTGTTTTAAAAAAAAAATGAAAAGTAATGTAATTCAAAATAAATTAAAAATTAGAAAGTGATTTTTAATTCACTTTCCAAACGAACCTTACACATCACAAAATAAATCTACAAAGTGAGAAAGTTTTGTGTGCAAATAGGGTGCCAAGCTGGCATGTTTATTTGGAGTGTTTTGAAAAGATGGTTAAAAATTATTTTTTACCTTTTTTGTAAAAGAGAGAAGTGAATTAAAAGTTGAGAAATAACTTTTAACCGACACCCAAAATAGACTTCAATGCCTTCAGCCAATTAGAGACTAACAGCAACTCTGACATAAACAATTAATTTGTTAAATTGTAACAGAAAGTTTACCTCCATTCCTCACATACATAAATTTAACAGCAACTTTGTTTTTATCACATTTTCTATCTTCTCTCTTCTCTGTTTTTTATAGAAACAAATCCAGAAACATGCTCTCTTTTCATATTTTTAAAAAAATAAACTACTTTTTCTTTCTCTACTCTTCTATATGCAAGATAAATTTTGAATCAATTGAAATTGAAATGGAAAATGAAAAAGCCTATAATACCAGAATTTGGGACCATAAAATTGGCCAGATTTCTATATCTATCGTGTGTGTTTAAACTCTTTTTTATTGAATCACCTATCTATACACAAAAATTCTTTGAAAAGTGAAAAAATTATGAGTTGGTTCAAGAGTGTCATGTGGCCATACCTCTCACTAATTATAATTTATCATATCTACTTATATTCTTCAATCATTTCATACGAATTCATAGACCTCACTCCCTTCACGAATCAAAATATCATTGGGACACCACATAACGGTACTCAAAAACCAACCAATAACTTCTCCAAAAAATGAGCTTATATATCATTTTCTATTAATTAAAAAATTATTAAAACAACTTGTACCCAAACAAGACATTAGTGTTATTGCTATTTTATAAAAAAAATTTACCTATAAATCTCATCTTGACAAATGGTGATCTATTTAGTTCTAAGAATTTTTTTATAGACCAATTAGTCCCATTAATTTTGGACAAGTAAATTTAATATATTATTTAAAAATTAAATTTGCGGTTATACTCTTATTTTTATTATGTTCCCTTTTCTTCTTCTTCTTCTTTTTTTTTTTTGTTTTGGTGCTAAAAAGGTAAGGTGCACAATACATAGGAATCAAATTGGGATGAATTTTTATATAAAAATCTTTTTTATTTGAAAAACATTTCAAAAGGAATACAAAAATAATTTAAAATATGAGATTCTTCAAACATTTCAAAAAGATGTGGGATTTCTCAAACATATCAAAAGGAGTATAAAAACTACTTGGTAAGTTTTGACCCAATGTATAATTTCAAATTGTAATACTCCAATGTAACACTCAAACGTAACATTTCAAAAAAAATCTTAGTACAATACCCTAATGTAACACATAAAAAAACTTCTTACAACACTTTTCTCAGTCGTAACATTCCAATATAACACTCCAAAAAAACTTCTTAATGTAATTCTCTAATGTAACACACAAAAAAAACTTCTTAGTTTATTTTTTTTCCAAACGTAACACTTTAATATAATACTCCAAAAAAACTCCTTAGTGTAACATTCTAATGTAGCACACACAAAAACTCCTTAGTGTAACTCTCTAATGTAACTAAAAAAAAACCGTCTTAATGTACTTTTCCTAAATGTCACACTGTAATGCAATATTTTAAAAAAACTACTTAGTATAACATTCTAATATAATACACAAAAAAAAACTCCTTAGTGTATTTTTTTAAAACGTAACACTTCAATATAACATTCTAAAAAAATTCCTTAGTGTACTACACACGTACAAAAAAAAAAAAAAAAACTCTTTGATATATTTTTCCCAAACGTAATGCTCTAATGTAACAAAAAAAAAACAAAAACAAAAACCAACTTCGTAGTGCATTTTTCCTAAATGTTACATTCCAATGTAATATTAAAAAAGAAAGAATGTGAGATTTTTCAAATCATTCTAAAAGGAGTACAAATATTCCTTAGTAAGTTTTGGGTAAATGTATAATTTCAAACTGTGAGTGTTGCGTTTGGAAAAAGTATACTAAGAAATTTTTTATAGTATTTTTGTGTGTTATATTGGAATATGTTACATTAGAGTGTTACATTTGGGATTACACTGATTGGAGTGTTACGTTTGGGAAAGTACACTAAGGAATTTTTTTTTTTGTTTTGTTTTGTTTTGGTGTGTTATATTGGAGCATTACATTTGGGAAAAGTACATCAATTTTTTTTTTTGAGTGTTATATTGAAGTATTACGTTATTAGAATGCAACAATGATTCATCCCACTAATTCGAGAGCACTAATTGACCACTAATGAGGTGAAAATTCAAAAAAAAAAAAAACACACAAGAGCAAAACATCCCATCATGTGGGACCCACTCCACTTTAGAGCTATTAGTGCTCCTCTTTTTAGTGGTCTTACTCATTTTTCATTACAGTGTTATGTTTTTATGCATAATGTGGGATTTGTTCTATAATGTGAGAAAATTCAAAACTTCAAATTGCTTAAATGTGTAATTTTACATTTTAAGAAACCCACTCTTATCTCTAAAAAATTAAACCCAAACATGTAAGTGACTATCTTTTTATGTAATTTCTACTTTAATAGGATTTTTAAGTTCATAGAAAAAAAGAAAAAACTAAATAGTTCACAAAATTATATTTTGAGACTCATTGATACTTCACCTATTTCATAAATATTAATAAGTACTTTGGAGAATGCCAGTAAAGAAAATAAAATGCTTTCTAAAAATTTGTAATGATTGTTTCTAAATTTAAAATAATAATAAATTTCTATTATTATTTCATAATTTTTAAATAATATAATAAGAGTATTCTATTACAATTATATAATGGAAAGGATATCCCTACATATTTATTATAAATATAAATTACTAATATATCTTAATATTTGAACTTAATTCTTATCAAATCTTATTAAAAATACGTCTGAATAAAATTGTTGTTAAAAATAATTTTGTGTGATAATTTTTTACACATGTTGTTAAAAATTGACAATTAATAACTTTTTGTCACGAATTTTATAAATTATCGCTAAAACTTATAATTCGTAATTTTTTCTATGGTAAATTTTTTAAATTGTTGCTGAAAGTTAAAAATTAATATTTTTTTGTGATAATTTTTTTAAACTGTCACTAAAATTTATAATTAGTAACATTTTTTATGCCAAAATTTTTATACTGTCGTTGAATATTAATAATTAGTAATGGCTTTTAATAGTATTTGAGGTAAAACATCATTAATTATCAGAGGACCTATTGGACACTAAATAAACCTATTAAAACCTAGACGTGAGTCTCCCCATTTATAACTCAGTATTTATAAAAGGTAACAAATTCAATTAGAAAATCGAAATTAAAGTTCTTTCCTTAATAAATTTCATCTCTTTAATGTA